AGAGTGGTGAGTGTAAGTAATAAAGTAAACATACTTTTCCACTATTGACTGCAGCTACTAACGCAACACGCTGATCATCATTCCCAAATTCATAGAAATAATACGACCTGAATAGAATCAATATCAATCATGTTTTATTACTTTTTCATTATTTTATTATAGGTTAAACGCAAATAATGTAAACATACTTTCATATATTTGTGTATTATAACATTCTATTTTCGTTTCTTTCTATTACAACATTCTACTAGGAAAAATCTTACCCAATTTTTACCTTGTACTATTATTTAATTTTTTTTATCACGACATATTTTGAAAATTCTACCAAATTATAACAGTGAATAACTTTTTCAAAGTATAATGTTGTCATAATTTGAAATGAAAATAGGATGCTATAATAAACAAATCAATGAAAGTATGTTGCTATTTCTTGCATGCAACCTTTTCTTGTACCCCATATCATGGGAAAAGACAGTATGATATAAATGCAAAATATAACCTGTAACCTTCATCTTCCTTTATTTTTATGGCACGTGCTGAGTATAAACTTGTCCCACCTATCAAAAACCAATGAAAAATTGTAAATAAGATATAACAAGATGCAAAATTTATATAAACTTTTAATAAGCATGACAAAATACTTCAAAAAAATTTGTATCACATAAGCTATTATTAAAATAACGATCCAATTCTTTTAAAAAGTTGTAAACACTTGATTATGTCATGAACAACTTTTTACCCGTTTCTTAATTTGATAGGTTCTTGAATTTTTACGTATTTGACCCGTTAATATAACCCAAATCAACCCATTTTCACATTAACAAATTGAAATTTTCCCCTCTAATCTATGCTCAAAATTCAAATTTACCTGGAACAAAAATCCTTTTTGCTTCCTTCAAGGTCCCAAAATCAGAAACATCTTTGGCCTGAAACAGTATATATCAACTAACATTCAAAAAAGAATATTGTTGCAATATTCATGGGACTAATAGGTACCAGGCATTGGTATAATTTAATCTTATATTTATAACAAATGACAGAAATAACCATACTATTTCATGATGGAATTTTAGTGGTATAAGGTTGGATTTGGATAATGTGAATTTCCTTATAAACCAAACCAACAATGGGTTTGATTTTCAACAAATGTAGCAAAATGAAGGATCCAGATATCCAGCCTTATACCATTAACATTCCAACATTGCATTGGAATTTGGATCTCTAAGATATGGAAGTTTTTATTAAACACTAAAGCTTTTTAAGTCTCACAAACCTCTAAAAATGTGATCTTGAGTTGATTAGAAGGGCGGATGACAACACTTAAAACTTCGGATCTGTATTAATTGCTAACCAAGTGAGACTGCATAATCATATAGTAACATTCACATTTAGTAGAAAACCAAAACCTCAATTTCACAACAAATAAAGGCATATTGCTTAGGTATATAACTTTACAATCTATTTCTACAGTTCTACTATAGATTGTATTTACATATGATATGAATAGTTTGTTCCATTTTGTTATCAAAGAGGCTTTTGTATTCATATGTTGTGTAAGAAACTATACAAAGAGGAGAGTTTTATACTACAATGGATGCAGAAAAAACAAGTTAATAGAGTAAGTCAAGAACACGAGGCTTTATGTTCTAATTGTTACAAATTACTATTCATACAACATTTGATGTAATAGGGAAAAAGAAGCAGGGCCTAAGATAGGCAGAAAGCATATGAACTATTAACACAAAACAATACAAAGATAAAACTTAAATTACAGTTTTACCCATCAGGTGTAGCAAAACGTGCTGCAAATGTCTTTGGTTTAGCTTTATCTCCATATAGAGATAAACCAGCATTATAGTCCTATGAAAACAAAACAGGAATAAAGTACCATTAATGTCCTGAAAAAGATGCAGTTCAATTTCTCAGCTGAAATTCGAAAAACTGAAGCTATCAGATAATCAATTTTGAATAACCAAATTTGAAACTACAAACTGTTAAGAGTAAAATTACTTAAATACAATTATCAATTCCTTATATAAGAAGAACTCTACAAATACAACACCATGAAAAGTGATTATTACAACTTGATGATGCAGCGCCAACTTAATATCACGGAATTAGTTTAAAAACCGCAACCTAACTCATAAACATTAAACAAACTTTGATTCTACATTGCAAGTATAATCACGAAAGCCTAAAGGAAAAATTAACGAAAACGATAAGAAAATCTGACCTCTGGCTCCATAATATCCTCAAAATCAGGCGGGATCCTGATGGCGAATCCACTACCGAAGAATCGAAACCATGATTTAGTGCTGGTAAGGCCTGAAAGAATCGTGTTAGTAGCAGAAGATGAAGTAGTTTGAGCTACGAGAATTTGAGGTTGAACAAGCGCTATTAAGGATGATACAGTGCAAATTGAAGCAAATGCTCTTCTGGAAGAGGAATGTTCAGAGATAGTGTTTGTTATACCATTACAAGGGTTTAAAGAAGGTTTAGGGGGATGTGATTGTGAAGTCAAAGAGAGAAATCTGGCCATGAAAACTGGCGTTTTGAGAGGATCAGAGGGAAGGATCGTTCATCGTTGGAAGTGGCCATTAAAAAGGATAAGATCCCTTACGTCCTAAAACAAAATATGAACTTGTGATTAATTTTAGTATTTTTCTTTTGTTTAAAATAACACCGGTTTTGTAAAAAAAAATATTTAGAATAACCGATATTTTCTTTTATTTGCTTCATAATTAATTTTAGTATATTTTCCTTTTGTTTAAAATTAGTGGGATGTCTTACAACGTGTTATTAATCTTATATTTTTTACACAAATTTTTCTAATGTTCCGCTTGTATTGGAAACATTTCCTTAAATTTTAAATTAGAGAGGAACCATTTCTTTAGTTTTGTAAAACATATGGACAAATTGTGTAATTTCGCTTTTGCCATGGATTATTTCTGTAATTTTATGAAAATAATAAACATTTCTATAATTTTTTGAAATACCTAGACCATTTATGTAAATTGATTAATAGGCAGAGACCACGTCTATAATTTTATGAACCATATAAATTGTTTCTCTAAATTTATTATTAGAAGGGACCATTTATGTAATTGTTTCATAGGGATCATTCCTATAAAAATAACTTTGAATAGAGATTTATTCTTGTAAATTATAAGGACTGTTTTGTAATTTGGTTTCCGAGATATTTTTGTTTTTTTTTATTAAAACAAAGGAAATTGTCAAAAAAAAAATCTCACTGTTTTTTTTTTAAATTTCACTTTAGTCCCAAATTTTATTTTTTGAACAGAAAAATCTTAATTATTTGATTTTACATAATAATATGTCATTTTTTGTTAAAAGAAAAAAAAAAGACTTTTTTATCAATTTGAGCCAAAATGAAATAGTCGGGATTTTTATGTTCAAAAAAATTTAGGGATTAAAATGAAACTTTTTCAAAAATATTGAGACTTTTCTGATAATTTCCCTTAAAACAATGACCATTTTATAAGTTAGAAGGATATTTTTGTAGATAATTTTTTTGACAAGAAATATCATGTTTAAGAAATTAGAGAATAGCCAAGTTTTTATAACAGATATTTAAAGTATTGAATAGTTTATTTCTTATTTTTGGAAACCCATGGTGCTTCAAATATTATTTAATAATAATAATAATAATAATAATAATAATAATAATAATAATAATAACTTTATAGACCACATCCTAAGAGTTAAAAATATTCAATTGACAAAGAATTGCTACTTTAATGAACATTGTCACATAAGTATTGACATGCATTGTCTCATTCATGTTTAGTTTGATTCGCATGTAATTTATGGGTAGATGTCATTAAACAATATGATTCTAATACATAATTATATTATGATATCATTTTAAAAAAAATATAATTTTATATTTCAGATAGTTTTAAGAATTTTATAGTTAATGTAAATGACATAGTAATCTTCGATACAGAATTTCAAAAATATATTTATCAAAAATTTGTGTACAGAATTTCAATACGTGCAATGCAAGGACATTCACGTAGTATCTATTTTTCTTGAACCATATTGATTTAAAACCCTATAAGTTTTCAACTTAACTACAACTCAAAAGGATTTTAAATAATGATTTTAATTTGTTCAATAATATA